ATACAAGATCTTTTGATTTCCTGCCCTTCTCATACTCATAAACTACAAACATTTAAATGTCCTCACACCAAATACTCTCAAATTATTCCTACACTGAATGACACTTAAATCTTACATTCTCATCCTTGCATGTTCAATTATTTATACATTTTTAATATAAATAATATTGAGACACCCATCCTACACACCATATTTCACAGTAAGCTCCTTTTTAAACATTTGTTTAAGCTGGTTTATGTTTGTACTTTTTTTAGTTCATCATTTAATCCATTCCAAACTCTTTTTGGTTGTTCTAATACATTGGTTTTTTTTAATTTTCCTTTTCCTCTTAAATTATAACCCCCCACTCTGTCACAAAATATTTTTTGTATGCTGTGTGGAAGTTGGTGATTTCTTACTTTAAACATAAATTGTACAGTTTTAAATTTTACAAGGTCCCAGAATTTCAATATCAATCAAACTGTATCAAAATTTCTGAATAAAAATCAACACAAAATTCAGTATTTATTGCATTATGTGCTTTCTAAACTGTTATTTTTTTGCACACTTCCTCCACTAAAACACTTATTGTAGCTCAAATATATATATACTCTACAATACTCCTGTAAAAAGAAAATCCAATATCATTGAGAGTGCTTGACCTAGTTACCTGACAAAGTTACATCAGATTTTGTGAAYTGATCATGGAAAGTCCACTTTAGGTAAACCAGCTCTGATTGGTAACTACAGGAGGCTTGGCCCACTGATATTTGACTATACAACTTTTTTTTTCTAAAAACAGATACCGCCTCTATAAAAAGAAGGATGATCACTATAAAAGCTTTGAATGATTTGCAAGTGTACAATAGGGAAGATTACATGAAAGCTCTGCTGTTTATCCTATTACCGGACCACCTGGATAGTTTTTTTTAATATGTTAAAACCACACTTGTCAGGTACATGCAAGCATCTACATACAGGTCATATCTTACCAAAAACCTATGAACACTTTGRGGTTTATTTCCACAATTTTCACCATTATTGTCAGTAAATGCAGTGTTACTATAACGTCAGGGAGGATGGTTACAAAACTGTTGGGAAGGAGAAAGAGACCCCACAATAGGAAGTGTGAACTAGCTTGGGATCAGCTGACAAACCACAATGACGTTGTTGATTCTGCGGGGGATGGACCCACAGAGACAACAGCTGAAACCACAACTAAGAAGGAAGCGTGGGAATCCTTCAAATATTTCTTAGTCTCCTCWCCCGTAGCATTCGCCACAAACTGCCACGGCTGCTTTGAAGTAGGCTACTGAACTTGAACTGGAATAAACCCTGAGATAACTTCACCATGGCCAAGCTAAAACATCAATGAGAGCAAACAGAAACGGCAGCCATTGGTCGGTCCGTCTCTTCAGATTCAACTTGGGTTAATCAGTAGACACAGGAAAGAAAACTTAACTCTTTGCATTGTTCTTTCAGTTAGCAGCAAAAGAGGGAAAAAAACRGCAGCTGTTTACCAACACTGAAAGAAGTTTAGAAGAAGTTGTGGTTTTGATAGATCAGCAAACTAAATCTGTCTAAACTATCCAACATCATTATTGTCCAGAAGTTTAGCCTTGGCACAAACGCGATGCCCTCTTCTCCCACCCCCGCAAAATGAGACGAGGAGGAGAAGGAGAGCCTGGCCGGGCTGATTCAGCAGGATGCTAAATCAACCCCGGGAACATTAATTACACACAGCATTATTAATCAGAGCAAAGTGTGCGCGGGGTTATAAGGTTTGAGATTGATTAGGCTGACGATCCATCAAAAACAGTGATGGCTATTGTTGGCTTTTTGCTGATCAGCTAAAGTGCTGGGCCACAGATGGAGAGTAGGACAGGGTGTGGTATACAGAAGGGATTGGGGTTAAACGGTTAACAGAGAAGGGGGGTGCACATGTCATTTGCACACTACTGTGATTTGTTTGTTTGGACGAGGGAGGGCTGGATGGGGATTTAGGAGGAGGTGGGACACAAAGCTAAAAGCATAGTAGGGTTTAATGATCAGCAAATCCCCCCCGCCTCTACTGTGAGGGCAGTATTTAACACAGCGCAGCCTGCTGCTCTATAATCATTTTAACAGTAGACTAGCTTATAAAGAAAGCAGGAGGGAGAAGTGTTGATTTWAAAAAARGGACAGAAAGCGGTGTTAGAAAACCTTCCTTAGTTTAGGATTGGAGAAGAAAAATATGAAGCTGATTTTCCTTTTGCTGCTTCTAGCCGGCTCAACATCTTCATTCCATCTGGACCTCTCGGGTAGACAGGCCACCCTGCCCCCTGAGGCTCTCACCACAGAAGCAAGCCCAACTGAAGCTAAATCTCGCTTTGCCATGCTGGATGATGTCCGCCTTCTGGCAAACGGCCTCCTCCAACTCGGCCAGAGTTTACGGGAGTTCGTCCACAAAACCAAAGCCCAGATCAACGACATTTTCCAAAAGCTGAACATTTTCGATCGCTCTTTTTACCAGCTTTCGGTGGTCACCTCAGAAATCAAGGAGGAAGAGGAGGAGCTCAAGAAGACCACCAACATCTTGAAGGCCAACAACGACGAGATCAGAAATTTGTCTTTGGAAATCAACTCTAAAATCAACAACATCATGCAGGAGCGAACACAACTGCAGAGCCAGGTGGGAAGCCTTGAGGAGAGGCTGAAAGGATTATCGCAGAGCGTGGTTCCCGCCGACCAACTCAGTGAAATCACAACACTCAAGGTAAGAAGAGACAACTCTAAAAGCATTCTTGAAAAATAGTTTCCCAAAAAACGGAAACCAATTTAAACAAAACTTTGAAATGTGTTTACTTCCAAAATCTCAGAACTTGCTCTTTGCAATATTTAAAAAAACAATGGATGTGTAAAATTTATATGCAAAAACTAAGCTTCAATCGTAATGTTTTTAGGARGTGATAGAAGCTCAAGAGAAAACAATCAGCAACCTTCTGCAAGCAGTGAAAGAGCAGCATGAACAACTGGACCACCAGAAAGTCAAGATTAAAAACCTGGAGGACAAGGTACGGTAGTTGTGTGTGATCTGCACACGTTTTATTTATTTTTTTACGTGTCAAGATCTGTATTTAGTTTAGCCCCATCTATGGAATTTGGTTTAGACAAATGCTTTCAAAATGTAAAAAAGGGTTTGTTTGCATTCTCTTTTGCAGCTCAGCTATGACAATTTTCAAGATACTACAGATAAGTTGGTGGATTCTGACCATTCAGCTGCTATGTTTGAATATCTTCCAAGAAACTCAACGGGCTTAGATACAAATGGTAATTCTTTACAAAGGGCAAGCACTTATWTTTTTTGGTGAATGTGAACTGTAAAAAATTTGATTTATTCATTAATAGATTTATATTTTGTGTGTTTCAGACCTTCCTGTGGACTGCAGCGAGTTATCTAACAAAGGAGAGACAAACAGTGGAATCTATGCCATCAAACCAAACCATTCAGAGCCATTCTATGTTTACTGTGAAATGGGCTCAGGTAACTTCAACTCATCATCTAAATATTCAACCAGAGTTGTTCTTAGAGGCCCAGGCATAGTCATAGATAACAAAATGAATAAAAAAATGTTAGGTAATCCACATAATAACAGAAATAGCTTATTCATGGGTGCAAAAGACAAACTAYAAGTTAAATGATGTTTTTCCTTTTTTTCCCCCCAACAGATGGGGCTTCAATTGTCCTTCAGCGCAGGACCGATAGCTCATTAGATTTTGACCAAACATGGGAAATGTACGAAAAAGGTTTTGGAGATCTGGAAAGTGAGTATACTTTGCATTTTTAAGATAACTACGTTGAAGATCTAAGGGCACTATGGTAATCATCATGACCACCACTAGGGTTGGGCAAAATCGTATCATGTGCAATTAATCGTCAGAAAGACTTTAAACTATTATTTTTTGGCACTTGACAATTAATACAATTAATGCCACCAGGCAGAATGACTAGGGATTTCCCCGGTCAGTCTGCCAGRTGCTCCTCTCCACTTCAAATATGACGAACATTCAAGAAAAACGTTCTGTAATTTATTTATCATAACTCCGGTTTTACTTGGTCTATCGACACAATTTAAAAACTGATGTATAGCCTGAAGTCGGTACTTTTGACCCAGTTTGGAACAGATTTTTATGGAGAGCAAAGCTTTACCGCTAGAGTGATTTGATTGGTCATGTGACTAGGATATGCATATTAATAGTTATCAGCTACATTTAATCGTGATTTTTTTTTGCCAACATCACCGAACCCTAACCACCACATGCATTTCCAAAGACGTTTTGACTGGGCCTGTATTTTAAAGTACTTCCTACAATAGTAATAGTGAACTATAAATGTTAATTATACAAAATGACTCCTTATTACCTGAGCAGCCAGACAGTTTGGCTCCTCTCCTGTAGCACTTAATAATTCCAAGCATTCAGCATTTCTAAGCAATTTCCCTTTTAAGAGTCTCTTTTAAATATGAACAAAAACAAGATAAACTCATTGATTTCTGTCTCACATAGAGGACTTCTGGCTGGGCCTGAAGAAAATCCACAGTATCACCCAACTCAGAGCTTACATCCTACGTATTGATGTGGAAGACTGGAAGGAGGAGAAGCATTGGGCTGAGTACAGCTTTTTAGTGGAAGGTCCCTCCAAGGACTACACCCTTCACATTAGCCACATTGAGGGTGACTTACCAGATGTCATGACCAACATAACCGGCGCAAAGTTCTCCACAAAAGACAGGAACAACAACTTCTGCAGCTCGGACTGCGCTCGCAGTTGCACAGGTACACAATAAATTGAATTTAACGGACAAAGCCGTTGCGTTACAACCAAGTGGTTCGAGCATGTCTTGACGTAAGTGCTGTGTTCTCCATCTGACAGGTGGCTGGTGGTTCAACGTCTGCAGCGAAACCAACCTAAATGGAAAATACTTCTGGCTGAGAGCAAAGGGACGCTCTGCGAGGAGGAAGGGCATTCAATGGAAGCCTGGCACAGGGTCTTTGTATTCCTTCAAGATGACCAAACTCAGCTTACAAACAGCCTCAGCAACTGATAACGCCAACTGACCACCACAACTCTCACATTCTCAGACAGTATTACTGGTATTTATCCTAATACAGCAACATTTAAATCCGATGAAAGGTTCAAAAGAAAGGGYAGTGAAATGACATTTAACTGCAGCTAGAAGCTGATTGCATTCTAAAATTCTGTCATCTGGCCAAATATGTCAGAAGTTGGACTGACAGAGGTGTCGTAATGGTGCATCCATGGCATTTAGGTTGTTAACCTATTGGGTCTGATCTAGCAGGGACAGCAGAACTATTGTTATGCAACATCTGCAATCAGCAGCGAATTGGACATATTGATCTACATTGCAACCTAATTACACTATGGCTGCAAAATTTTACAACGTTAAAGCAGAACAGAAAGATTGAAAACTTAAACATTTAGATTAGGTAATCAAAATACATTTAGTAGCTTCTCAGTCAAGCAAGCTATACATTGTCTGTTTTYGCTCTGTGACGTGAAAGTGTGATGCATGTCTCCTGAAGCTAAAGAAACATTTACTAAGCAGTAATTGCATAACACATGCAAAATATATTACAAGCTTAGATAGAAACAGTATTATTTCCAGACCAACAAAAGCATCTATGATGTGTATGTTTTTCCTGTTTAGGGCTTGTAGTCTTTTGTTCTTATACTTATTTCCAGAATTAAGTACAGCGCTAGAAAAAAACCTGTCTACAAAGTAGTAGTAATACAAACTTTAGCMGTGCACTGATGAACTCTTGCTCTTTTTTCGATATTATTATTCTGTAAAGTATTTAAACTAATATTCATGCAATTTTGATTTATGCTGGTATTGTTGGACAATTGTTGTCTTTATGTTTCTGTTGTTACTGAGTCATATTGACTCTAGTCATTGGTACAGCACAGCTAACTGTTTCTTTAATGTGCCTCACACTAAAAGTCATTCTCACAAGAAGCTGTGTGTGCTACCAAATCATATTTATGAAAAATAATAATAAATCAATGTATCCAAATAACTATCCAAGACAACCAAGTTATTGGTACTGAATTTTGTATTATGTTAACCTTTGTAATGAAACTAATAAATGTTCAAAATTATTAAATAGAAACAAAACTTGAAAGACWAAAGTGATTTCATCTCAAAATATAAATTGCACCGTTGTTGTTTTTCTTTCGGCTGCTCTCTTTTCAGGGGTTGCTACAGCGAGAAAACACTTCAAAAATTTGGCAATTGTTTTATGCCGGATACCCTTCCTGACACACAGATTATGAGACCGCGGCATGGACCACTGAGCTACCGCAGCCACACACACATAAATAAACMTAGCATAGTTGGTAATCTTAACTGGATTACAAAAAGTATCAAATCTGAGTGGTTTTAGTTTACTTCCAATTCAAATGGATAATCAAAATATTATAGTTTACGCCACTTTTTTTCACTTATTACAAAGTGTTGACACAAACTACRTGAGTACAAAATATTTACTGTGAATTCTCATTTGTGTTATTTTTTTTGCAACAAATCGTGATCAGTGGCTGGATGAGAGAGAGTTAGTGCTTGTTAGAAGGTGAACTTATTCATATTTCCCCTTTAATTCAAATGAGTTTATCTAAACAGGAACACCCTCCACTTCAACTATTAGAAATTTAATACACAACAACTAATAAACAAGTGATCATTGCGCAGACAGCAAATAAAGAAATAAAATATTCAAAATTATAAAGAAAGTTTAATTGTGAAATTATTTTTTATGTGTATTCATGTTATTGCCAGGTTTAGATCATATTTAGGTAGGTTGATTTAAAAATAAATACACACTTCTGTTGGTCACTGGATGTGGTTAATCAGAATTTGGGACTCCAATCAAATAATAATCCCCCACTAGGAAGAGACCTGCAGTATCTACCAGCGGGTAAACAAAGCTTGTGGTGGTGGGTGTCAGCTGCTGTCTGGTAACATCTCTATCTCGCAGTCACCTTGACAAAAATAGCCCTTATTCAAGTGGACAACGTGCACTAAGTACACAGATCGAATCTGCTGGTGTATGCAATTGTTGACTGCTAGTGTGGGCAGTGCCCTGGCAGTCATGACCTGCACCCGGTGACAGATATGAGGTAGACAATCATTAACCACAGCCATCAATATAAAACGTTCTAAGTTTAGGAGGTAATAAGTATTTTTTGTTGCTTGTTGTTGCTAACTTGCTTTTTAGTATCTTTTTGCGGATGTTGTTTAGTTGAACTGATGTGAAAAAAAAGTAACAGATGTTGCAAACGATTGATGATAAGTTACTCTCATTTGTATCATCTGTTTGTCTTAAAAGCTTTATAGGGGTGGCTGTGRCAGAGTAGTTAGGGGAGTCKTCCTGGAACTGGAAGGTCACTGGTTTGATCCCCCGTCCAGCTGTCTCAGTTGTGTCCTTGGGCAAGACACTTCACCCCTAATGCCTCTGATGTGTGTCCCATCAGTGTATGAATGTGATTGGCACTGATTAGTCTCCATAGATGACTGTACATGTTAGCTTTGTAGGAGATTTGGTAGAGTGCTGTGTGAATGGGTAAATGAGGGCACAGATTGTAGTGGGAAGCACTTTGAGTGTCCTGGTTGGGTAAAAAGGTGCTATACAAGTACAGTCCATTTACCATTTACCATTTAAATAAGACTGTTCAGCATCCTAGGAGCTATGTTCTGTGTGTTATTGTATTATTCCAGATTAAATGTCTGTTCTRGTGTAATTATTCAGGTGCAACCTATACACCAAAGTTTTTTTTCTTCTTCATGACGCATTTTTTTTGACTGTTGCRGGTTATACTCGGAAACGACTTACAGTCCGGCAAATATAGTAATAAAAATGGTAGATGAAAATTCATAATTAAAACTATTTTGCACTACCTGTAMGTGGTGTTTGGCACATAGACATCCCTGGCTGGGAACTCCAGGATCTCTCTGGTGGGGCGCACTCTACTGTCAGGATAAGGTTTAACCTGCAGGAGGTCCGGAGTCAGACAATAGTGAGGGTTCTCCGGAGCTGGAGAAATGTCCAACTTTAACTGGGCTACAATGGTACCAGGGAATAAGAAAAACAAAAGAGAAAACTAAATCAGTACAACAGAATCGTTTTTGCTCAAATTTCTAATCATGCTTGAATATAATAAMGCAGATTTATTCAAGTGTTCTGTGAACCTGTGATGGGCCTGAGTCTCCTCAGCACTGAAGAAGGTCTCCTCATATCAGCTAGAAACTTATACAGATCTTCATCGCTGAGTCTATCTCCCTCCTAAAACATATTTCATTTTTTAAAAGAAAGCATGACAACAAAACACCAGATATTATATTTATGCATAAATTTACAAACCTGTTTGAAGAAGTTGGTGATGGTTAGTGTTGCTGGCCTGAAACCCGTGAGACTACAGGCTTCATCTCCACTGGTGGTCCTCTCTAAAGAACGCCTTCCCATGATGCTCGAGTTCCTCCGTTCTGACCATGAGCCTTTTCTTTCTGCAAATAAGAAACAATAAAAAATTAAAACAAAACCTTCCAACTCTACATATTTCCAACCTGCTTATYAACACAAAACAGATACCAAAGTCAAACCTTTAGAGGTCTAAGGCTGAACAAACAACTCAAAGTAAGCTGCCAGAGATCAATATATCGGCGCGCTTTGTTTGGATGTTGTTTTTTTCTCCCTCTATTTGAATTTGCTTCCTTCCTGTTTGTTGATGGAAAGCTTTTGTAGATAAAGATTTTAAAGGGTGGTACTTTATTGACGGGTGCATGAGCCACATGCGTGACTGCGGGGTTWATTAACGCTCTCTGTACCCGGATCAAAACATGTCACACTGAAACTGCAAGTTGGATTGAAACTTTTTTTTAATATCCTTTTGTTTGACATAATGACTAAAAAGTGTTGGACTCTGAGATACATGCTTTTTGTCTGAATTTGAATCAAATGTTAAAAAAAAACAAGGTCACACCTGAGAGGCTCATCTCYAGCTCGGTGTCTCTCTCCAGACTGCCGGCACTGTTTACAATGTTCATCAGATGGATGGCCGTCCACGCAAAGGGCATTCGGTAGCGGCCCAGACGCTGGCAGAACTGCTCTGATTGACTTCGAAGCTTCTCCAGTTTCTCCTTGTTCTGAAAAAATAAAATAAAAGGGTGAATACAGCATATTGGCTGTGTACCAATTCATGGGTTGCAGTCGATGTAGACCGCGGCCGATGTTGGCCACAGTCTACGTGGGCCGTAGGCCGTTCGAGTCGGCCGTATAAACTGCTGTGAAATGAGACGGTCTAGTCTGCAGAAGACATGTTTGTGTGACCATTCGCTGCCTTGTTACCATTGGGGCATCCATTGTGAGTTATAATTCACATCACTTCAGTCATTTTCAAGGTATAACTTCATAAAATTCAGTTTTAATAGAAAAAGGTTACAAGTAAATAAATAAAAAGCATTAATAATTTGGGTTTAGCTTCTGCAATTTATTTAACATCATTTGTTTAACTTACATTTTTCGGTCGGTGATAAATTTCCAAACTGCGTCATTAAAAAAAAAAAAAACTCCGCCGTACACTAAAAGAGAACCTCTGCCGCCTTTGTTTTTCTGTTTAATTTGCTGATGGCGTAATGAATTCTGGGATACCATCGGCTGCGTAGGATATTCAGATGCAGCTGAAGTTTTCGGGGTTTTGTCGACTGCGTGAGTAGGCGCCTACGAATTGGGAGCTAGCCACTATTTTACTACTGTCACGGCTCCTCTTCTTCTGATTGGCAGGGGCGGTTTCTCCTGCAAGCAGAGGTGGGTCTTCAGTAATGGGTACCTCTACTAACCAGTCTCTCTTTCTGTTCCTCCAGGTAACTCCTTTGACTTTTGTTCTAGGTTGGATTTTGGGTTGATATTTAGATTTACTTTTAATTTACAATAAAACTATATTAATTGGCCTTTAACTTTGTCACTCTTCATTTTTGTTATGGGCCATGGGCTGGCCTGTGACAAGTCGGGGCTCGTCAGAAAGCTACGTTCATGTTCGTTGTATCTTAGTTTGTTGTACATTAATGGTTTTTGATAGTTTAGTTGGTATTGTTTTTTTTTCTCGTTTGGCTTCTTTGTGAGTTTGGTTTTGTTGTAGTTTGGCTAATTTGTCTGTTTAGTAATTGTTAGATATTGATTTTGTTTGCCAGTCTTTGGTTGGTCAATATTTTTGTCTGGAGAGAGCAGTGAGCATGTGTTCCCTTTTTTGTTTGGATAACTTTTAGCTATTTGGTTTTGTAACATTAGGTCTTTACTGGGTTTCTGTTCAGGTGGGAGTCCTCCCATTTTAAAGCTAATCAGCGAGTGTCAATATGATACTTGTGGTGTTTTTTCTTAGGTAGAAGTCAGGGTTGGGCATCGTTTGAACATCCTCCTCCTCCTCATTTGGGTCCCAYGGTTCCCAATTTCGATTCWTTTTAGAGGCAGGGTCAAAAAAGTTTACRTGGTTTAAATGARGTAGCAAACCAGAGTTCTTTCTAGATGAACAGATKTTATGAATTTATTTTTCACACGGGTACGATAAGGTAAGGTAACATTTATTTATATAGCACTTTTAAGCAGCAAGGCGATACAAAGTGCTTAGTGGGTACTCTGCAAAACTTGTCCATCCAACCAAATCGTACACTTATATCCAGCCAAAGGGTATTTTTGATTTTGTTTTGAGACGATATATGTACTAAGCAAGAGCAGAATGTGTTTGATTATTAATCTTGTTAGCCTGGAAATGTTTTCTTTTTCAAGTCTTACCAAGCACAACTGGCAGATTATTTCACCTAATYTGACAGTTTGAGTCTGAACACCAACTCAAATTGGCTCACCTGGGTTTTTTTTCTTTATTAGTGTTGGGTGGCTTCTTTTCCCAGTTRGCGGACTGGGTATTGAAAATTGGTATCAAAATTTACAAGTATTCCTACATAAGTAAACTATAACTACAAGGGTGTAGTTGTCTTGTCTTAATACGTATTCCTTGTGTAGTAGACGCACATGATATAATATCGTCATGTACTGTGTGTATAAATATTGTTAAAGTACATTAAAGCCATGCACGCTCTAACTGATCATACCTTGGCAGCATCAGACTCTTTGAAGACCATATATGGCTCTGCACATTCTCCTATATCACCTTGCTGCAGTACCTTTTCTAGCTGTTGACAAAAAAAGTATTTATTTAGTCCACAAGTTTAAACACACTTGAAAATACTTTATTTATCCATAAGACAAAAAAAAACTGTAGTAACACTGCTTCACCTTGATGACTAGGAAGATATCTGTGGAGGGGTAGGTGATGGAGAAAATGGCCGAGCGTGCCAGCGTGGAAATAGCTGCTGTCTGAATGTGTGGACGCAACATWGCTTTCGTCTGCTCAGAGTTTAGATCAAAGAAGAAATTTTCGGATATCTGGTGGACACATAAAACAGACCAGCATGTAAATATAATTTATTCATATCAGATTTGAAATTCACACCATCTTAACACTGAATGAGTGTCTGCATCTTATTCATAGGCCCTCGCAAACATAACATTTCAAAATAAAAGCAGCCCCCAGTAAATGAAGGTAAAAAATATGGGCTCTGCTTCTCAAGTTGACTGCTACCCTCTAGTGTTTGTTTCTGTAGCAAACGGACAGAGAAAATAAACTCTACCAAATGGGCTTATTCACCTAGTTTCTGTGAATGATTTAACTTGATTCTTAAAAACCTCACAGAACCACAAGTTTTACAGTCCAACTGTCAGATTTCTTTTGGCCTCATAACAGTTTTAGTGTTTTGCAGAAGTGACTACACAACTCAGGACCGGACAGATCCTGAGGAAAGCATAACAGCTTACCTTTTTCTTTTCCTTGACATCATATAAGGCCAAACTAGCAAATATGGGTTCAATTTCGATCTCGAACCTTCAAAACAGAGAGAAAAACAAGTGGGTCAGCAAAAAGCAGCAGTTAAATAAAAGAAGTGTACTGCGTTTTTTTTCTTTTTTTTTTCCTGTGAAAGATTGCCCACCACTTACTTCAAGGACAAGCACTTGACGAGTAGCCTCTGGCCAAAGTGCTCTTTAGGTACTTCAGGCACACAGTGGCGCTCAATGGGCTCCTCCTTCATGTTCACATAAAAGAAACCACAAATAAGAATGAGCAAATTACTGATATTAAGCAGCCAAAAAACAAGTTAAATTTATGGACGCGTTTTGTTTCACAGACAAACGCTTTACCTCATCGAGGGCAGGATGGAGAGCAAAGAGCTCCCGATGGCGATTAGTCATACGCTGTTCTTCGTTGTGCCGGTCAATCTCCTCGTTGGGGGCCCGGTCGAGAAGGTGAGGGAGGAGGGCATCAGGGAGGGAATTCTTCAAGTCAAAAATGCTGCAGGCCCAGCTGCCCCGTGGAGTGTCATCTATAGACATCGACCGCCTCTTCAGATCATCCTAAACAGCAACAAAATCATAAAAGATGTGCTGCAGGCTCTTATTGTAAAACTACACACTGTATATGTACATGTACATATGTTAGGGCAATGATGTATTTAAATGTCAAGAAGCATAAGTGTGAAGTTCCCTGCGCCCTGTAACTAYGCATTACGCAGGCTGATACCTGGTCATCCTGGTAGCTGCTGCTATCTGGCATCTCATCAGCTTCAAACACTTGCTTAGGCAAGCCTTTCTGACGTTCCTTTTGTTTATCCAGAGTGTTGGGGTTAAAGCCAGTGCCAAGCTTGTGATACCTGCAGGAGCAAGTATCACAGTATTAGTTATCAACGTAATCGGCATGGGCATTTTAAGCAAGAAACTCTTCAAATATTACATTTTTCTTCAAATAATCAACTCCCTCTGCTAATATCTGCTAACCGGATATATTCCTTTGTTTTCGCCAGTCCAATTGATTAACATAGAAGGACATGCTCTGACAAGCTGAGTTCACCCGTGACCATTATTTCTACTTTATAATCCTTTAGGGAAAAAAAAAAAAACACAATATCAGAAGCAGACACGAAAATGCTGCAAATTGGGGTTTTTTTCTTCTTTTTGTGGAAGAACTCCAACTTTAAAAAAAATACATTAGGAAACAAATTAGTGTCACTAATAAGTTCATGCGTAAAAACAAAGATAGAAAAAAAACATTTGAATTTGCTTGTTTTTACTAGGCTTTAAATATTCAAATGCATTAAGTTAAAAAGTGATGTCTTACTTTCTATTGACAACAGCCCAGTCCTCTGTGTAGGATCTGACACAATCTCTTACATGAGGATCAGTGTCCCTGCAAAAAAACAATCAAAAAAAAAAAAAAATACGTTCTTATAATGTTTGTGCAACCTTCTTTGAAATATCAAAACTTTGTGCTGCACCACATAGTAACAATGACCTATTATTTGTGCAGAAGATAATGTTTGTATATCTTTGATAATACCAGGGCATCCATGTTATTAGCCTTTACAWTTTACATCTAAACTCTTGCAGCGCAGTAACTTGGGACAGCAAAAACCGCATCAGAGCGATTTGGAAAACCATCTGATGAGATTTGACACGTGACATTACAAAACAACTGATCACTGCAAATWCGAGCTGACGGCGTTACGTTTGTCTCCACACTCGATGACGATGAGAGCCTTTAACTCACCCTTCCTCTGGAACAGCCTGTACCACAGTGCGACACTCCCTGGGTGTGTAGATGACCTCGATGTCATCGGGGGGAAACTCGATCAGATCTCTCAGTGGACCTGACTCCACGATGGGAGGGTGCGTGATCAGATACTCCTCAAAGTCCAYGGGCTCCACCGCCTCTGTGAGGGGAACCTGGTGGGTGAAGAGAACGAGTTTAGGTCAGACGCATGGAGGAAAAAAAAAGGGGGAACAATTCCACATGTAACCTCTTACTGGCAAAATATGGGCTACATTTTGTGATTCCTGTAGGGAACAGCGTAAACTCATGACGTTTTTATTTAAAATGTGAAAAGTAATAGTGTGTGAACGCTTCACAAGCATTCACTCTATTGAGATCATTTTTTTCTTCCGTACGTTTTTTGCGCGTTTCTCATTCCGCAATTTTTGTACTATTTGACAATTCCTAATACCAAAATGTTCATCTCTGTCAGGACATTCTGGCTATGACTTTTGATATTTCAGCTATTTATACTTTTTAGCTATTTCACTTTTTCGGCCACGTTTTTCCCATTGCAAGTTAATGGAGCTGTTTTCAACATCCTTAAAATCTTTCAAAATGTTTCTAAATCTTTACAGCACCTTACACCTTTTGTTCTGGTTCTGCTCTTTTTAACTTCCTAATGCTAATTTTAGCTTCTTTTTAGCTAGATTTAGCTTTTTTCTGCTATTCTTATATGTTCTACTTTTTTCTGCTTCTTTGAGCTATTTCTGCTTAGAGTTGCTTTCTGCTATATTCAGCTATTTGCTGAAATTTTAGCTAATGTTCAGCAGTTATTAGCTAAAGTTAGCTTTTTTAAGCTAAATACACATTTTTTGTAGCTATTACAACTTATTTCTGCCAAGTTCAGCAAACTTGTGCTCTTTATGCTTCTTTATGCTAATTAAAGAATTCCCAGGTACATTTTAGCTGTTTTACAGCAAAATTTGACTGTTTTAGCAATTTTACCACAAATTATCACTTTTTTGTACTTTTATGCTTTTTTTTCTGCAAATTTTAGATTTTTTACACTTTCACAATCTGGGTGTGAAATTCAAATTGTGTCTAGGGCTGCCATGATTAGTCGACTACTCAACGACTAATCGACTATTAAAATAGTCAACGACTAATAAATAGTTGATTAATCATTTATTTTTTATTTTTTTACTTTGTTTTTCTCTCCAAACTGCTTTGACACCTTCCACTGCCACATCTGCCTTTCTGTTCTTGACACACATGTGCAGTAGTTGTAACTGGGGTAGGCTGTGGACGTCACAAGACATTATACAGACAGGCTCTAGTATCATGGCTACCCGGCGACGGAGCTGAAAAGTGTGGGATCATTTTAAGAAAATGAAAGAGAAACCTGTGCAATATCTGCAAGGCAGAACCTGCTTTCCACAGCAATTACTTTTAGTTAGCATATAGCTAAAAATATAACAATGGTTATTAGGGCTGCACCGATTAGTTGAAATAATCGATGACGTCGACTATGTAAATTTGTCGATGCAGATTTTTTTTATTATCGATTCGCTGTATTACATCACCACCACATGAATGTTCATGCAATTCCATTTTGGTACCTAAATGCATCATTTCTACCGTATTGGCATAAGAGTGGTGAGTTTTCCATGCTTG